CTATACATTCTTACTTGTTTAAAGTTGGCTTCGCGTTTTCCAATATTTTGTCTCTTATATCGCTAAAAGCTGGAGGCATCTTAGCTTTTAGAATACGACAAAAGACTTATGGAGATGACTCGAAAATCCAATGTGATCTACATATATATTTTGACTCTGTGTTTTAAAATTTTGTTGGATTTTTTTTTTGTTGGATAAAAGATTTTTTTAACTTAAATTAAATTTGCTAACTCCAATTGGATTTCATTAGAAGTGATTAAAGTTTTCATGTTCTTCACATTTTGTTACCCACTGTAAATGGAGTAGTAAGAGTTGTAGTGGAAGTTAATAATACCAACAACTGTGAAACATATATTAAATACAAATAAGAAGTGACATTCTCTGAAGATACATTAATGCCAAGCAGGAGCTAAGAAATCATAATACACATTCACACATAAACCTATATATAATACCCAAATAAATATACATACATACATACATATTTCAAACATTTGGCAAGTACCAAAAACATATTTGTTCTTTAATATTAGTATCCAATAAGAGGCACTGAAGTGCACTACAAGAGAAGCAATGTTGTTCATTCGACACGGTTGTCTGTAAAGGTTCCATTAAAATATGGAGATAAGCGAAGAAAAATCACAAACAATAAAAAAATAAACAACAACAACAACAACAAGAAAAACATAATATTAAAAAAATAAAAGTAAATAGATGTGTATTTAAATTTAAATAGAATTGAGTACAATACTAAATTTAAAGACCACAAATTTAAAAATAAACTTTTCGGTGGAAAAAGTTTAAAAAATTTTGTGAGGTTTTTTTTTAAGTGTTTTATTCAAAATTTCTTTTTTTTTATTGAATTGGTTGGGTTAAACAAACATTATTAATCAAAAAGATCCCAAATGCTTTTGACAGTTTTGAAATGTTGAAAATCAAATAACAACTTAAGTATGTTTGAGAAAAAAAAACGAATATAATCAAAATACTTGAACATAAAATATATAGATTTAAGGATTTGTTAGAGAGTGTTTTATAGCAACAAAAAGGATTTATTTTTTTATAAAAAAAAACTCAAAGGAAATTGAAACTGTTAATATTAAACCACAAAACACCTGTAGCTTTAGCCACTTTTTTTGCTAGATAAAAAGAAGACAAAGTGAATGAGTGTGTCTATACAAGTGTGTGCGTGTGTGATAATTGTATTTGACAAATAGCATCCGCCTCTTTTTCTAGTTTTTAAATTGAATTGAAAAAAGAGAAGAAAAAAACTGTTAACAAGTTGTATGTAACTAACACAGCCTTCATATTAAGTATACGCACTCACATACTCTTAAACAGTGATGGGCGCACATTACATTTACCAAGCAGTAGAAAGAATGCTTAGTTCATGTTGACTCCATTTCAAAAAAAAAAGAAATCATATATAAGCAATTTTTCAGCTTTACTAATGTACTATAGAATTTCACATAATTGCCCATAACTGCTAAAAATACATATGGACTCACGCACGCCTGCTACTGTTACAAATTTAATATTACTACCACATACCTAAAGGCAATCAAGCCATAAATCAAATTTACGCTTACTGTTACTGTTTATGATACAAATACTACAACTTTTTCATATCTTTTAAAAGCCTTATAAAAACATATAATAAATTTAACGTTATATTTTTGCACATATAGATACGTAGGTACTACAGTAACCCTGCAGTTCGGGGTGACTGTACTGAGCAAGTAATAACTAAGAGGTCAATTGAACAGATTTCAGTTCAGAACACATTTCAAAATATAATCATATATCATCAAAGCATGTGTAACTTTCGAAAGGCGGACCTATAGTTAGTTAGTTAGTTAGTTAGTTAGTTAGTTAGTTAGTTAGTTAGTAGTTAGTTAGTTTGGTAGTTATTAGTTGTAGTTAGTTAGTTAGTAGTCAGTAGTTAGTTGTAGTTAGTTAGTTAGTTAGTTAGTTAGTTAGTTAGTTAGTTAGTTAGTTAGTTAGTTAGTTAGTTAGTTAGTAGTTAGTTAGTTAGTTAGTTAGTTAGTTAGTAGTTTAGTTAGTTAGTTAGTTAGTAGTTAGTTAGTTAGTTAGTTAGTTAGTTAGTTGTAGTTAGTGTTAGTGTTAGTTTAGTTAGTTAGTTCGTTAGTAGTAGTTAGTTAGTTAGTTAGTTAGTCGTTAGTTAGTTAGTTAGTTAGTTAGTTAGTTAGTTAGTTAGTAGTTAGTTAGTTAGTTAGTTAGTTAGGTAGTTAGTTAGTTAGTTAGTTAGTTAGTTAGTTAGTTAGTTAGTTAGTTAGTAGTTAGTTAGTAGTTAGTTAGTTAGTTAGTTAGTTAGTTAGTTAGTTAGTAGTTAGTTAGTTAGTTAGTTAGTTAGTAGTTAGTTAGTTAGTTAGTTAGTTAGTTAGTTAGTTAGTTAGTTAGTTAGTTAGTTAGTTAGTTAGTTAGTTAGTTAGTTAGTTAGTTAGTTAGTTAGTTAGTTAGTTAGTTAGTTAGTTAGTTAGTTAGTTAGTTAGTTAGTTAGTTAGTTAGTTAGTTAGTTAGTTAGTTAGTTAGTTAGTTAGTTAGTTAGTTAGTTAGTTAGTTAGTTAGTTAGTTAGTTAGTTAGTTAGTTAGTTAGTTAGTTAGTTAGTTAGTTAGTTAGTTAGTTAGTTAGTTAGTTAGTTAGTTAGTTAGTTAGTTAGTTAGTTAGTTAGTTAGTTAGTTAGTTAGTTAGTTAGTAGTTAGTTAGTTAGTTAGTTAGTTAGTTAGTTAGTTAGTTAGTTAGTTAGTTAGTTAGTTAGTTAGTTAGTTAGTTAGTTAGTTAGTTAGTTAGTTAGTTAGTTAGTTAGTTAGTTAGTTAGTTAGTTAGTAGTTAGTTAGTTAGTTAGTTAGTTAGTTAGTTAGTTAGTTAGTTAGTTAGTTAGTTAGTTAGTTAGTTAGTTAGTTAGTTAGTTAGTTAGTTAGTTAGTTAGTTAGTTAGTTAGTTAGTTAGTTAGTTAGTTAGTTAGTTAGTTAGTTAGTTAGTTAGTTAGTTAGTTAGTTAGTTAGTTAGTTAGTTAGTTAGTTAGTTAGTTAGTTAGTAGTTAGTTAGTTAGTTAGTTAGTTAGTTAGTTAGTTAGTTAGTTAGTTAGTTAGTTAGTTAGTTAGTTAGTTAGTTAGTTAGTTAGTTAGTAGTTAGTTAGTTAGTTAGTTAGTTAGTTAGTTAGTTAGTTAGTTAGTTAGTTAGTTAGTTAGTTAGTAGTTAGTTAGTTAGTTAGTTAGTTAGTTAGTTAGTTAGTTAGTTAGTTAGTTAGTTAGTTAGTTAGTTAGTTAGTTAGTTAGTAGTTAGTTAGTTAGTTAGTTAGTTAGTTAGTTAGTTAGTTAGTTAGTTAGTTAGTTAGTTAGTTAGTTAGTTAGTTAGTTAGTTAGTTAGTTAGTTAGTTAGTTAGTTAGTTAGTTAGTTAGTTAGTTAGTAGTTAGTTAGTTAGTTAGTTAGTTAGTTAGTTAGTTAGTTAGTTAGTTAGTTAGTTAGTTAGTTAGTTAGTTAGTTAGTTAGTTAGTAGTTAGTTAGTTAGTTAGTTAGTTAGTTAGTTAGTTAGTTAGTTAGTTAGTTAGTTAGTTAGTTAATTAGTTTGTTAATTAGTTAGTTAGTTCGGTTGTTCGATTCTTTTCAAATAAGTTGTAGGTTACACCAAATCCGAAGAAATACCTCCTGCCTAACAGCCTAGAACACCATCCACTAACTTACTTGTGTATTTATGAATATGTTTTTAAGCTGTATTTCGGTTCGCCTAGTCCCCATATGATTTCTTCCAGTTTCTAACCAATCTATAGCGAATATATGTGAAAAATTACAGCCCTATTGCTCCTTCCGTCTGCTCTCCACAGATGGAAGGATGGATATGACTTAACCATCTTATAATCTAATAAAGGTCTAATTTCCGCTAAATTCTCGAAATTTTATTGAACCTTCACACATTATATTAACATTTCACAACGATTACAAATGGACACTTGAAGAGTCGCTTGTAATCGATTACTAAAGTGCGGTACAGAATTCACACTTAAAGTGTATTCTCTTTATATTACTAATGGTCGGAATCTTTTGATGTTACACAGATGACAAACAACTATTATCTAAATGACTTTCAAGAAACTCCTCCCTAGATTGTTTAGGGACAATAAATACTTGGCAATGTCATGTTTAAATACTTGGCAATCGTAAAGTATACATTGACTTTTCGTTGCATTACAAAAAGTATAGTACTGTCAAATTACTCTAAAATTTATACTACATTCGTGTCAATTTAGTAATTATATAACTACATATGTATTTGAAGAAAAACTACTATTTATATGGGAAAGGTGGATCCCTAGTAAAACTGCTGGGTATATATACACAAGTATAGATACATTTAACTTCAAATATATGTATTGTTATTTGAGTTAAGATACTCATGTGAGTACTCATACGTTTAGATATTTATTATGTTTCTTAGGGTGGCACTGTTTGTGTGGGGATTGACTTTCTGTTTAACGATATCACATGTTAAAAGATATATTTCTGCAGATATAATAATTTTTTCTAGAAATGTAATCAAAGAGGAATGATTAAATGAATAATTCATTGGCATTTAACAGTTGGGGACTAATCGTCAAATTGAGTCTTTTTCGACAGTTTTCTATGTCTAAAGACTAATTTATTAGGGCTCGTATATGCAAATATTAAAAAGTGATCAGAAAACGTGTTCCTAAAAGACTTTTTTATGATTCGATTATAAGAGTCATAAAAGTCGTCGTATGTGAAATTCAAATTACTTATGAGAAGCAGTAATGATTGGAACTAGGAAGCTAGGGATAAAATTACACTTTCTTAGGAACAATTCTTGAAATACTTTATACTTTAAAATCACAACAGAACTCGATCCAGATTAAATGCTTCGAAATATTTATTTTTATAAAATATACTACCGTTTAGATAACATTTTATTATGAGTCTGCCGTAGAGTATTAATATTTCAACTTTTTATTTTTCTTTACAGAATTCCCACATTAATCCAAAAATTTGCTGCTTAACACCCACATAACTGCCACTAAAACCACCACCACCACCAGCAGCAACACCTTCAAAAACCAACACCTCCTTCATCATCATGTATGGCATGTTATATGAAAGTGTAGCGTTCTTTGTACAAAAAGAATATGGACAAGATATATGGAAACAAGTGTGTCAAATTGTTGATTGTAAACACAGTACCTTCAAGACACATCAAATCTATCCCGATAAGTTAATGCCCGATTTTGCTGCAGCTTTAGCAGCGGTAACTGGTGAAACATTTGATTATTTTATGAATTTCTTTGGAAAATGTTTTGTGCGATTCTTCAGTAATTTCGGTTATGACAAAATGATCCGTTCAACGGGTCGATATTTTTGTGATTTCTTACAGTCGATTGACAATATCCATCTGCAAATGCGTTTTACATATCCAAAAATGAAATCACCTTCTATGCAATTGGCCCATATGGACGATGATGGTGCTGTGATTATATATCGCAGCAGTCGTACGGGTATGTCGAAATATTTAATAGGACAAATGACTGAGGTGGCCCAAGAGTTTTATAAACTTAAGGTTAAGGCTTATGTTATAGAGTCGCAAAATGATATTGCTGGCGGAACAACGGGACCCATACAATTATCGGATGTGCCATTAACGGTTATAGTTAAATATCGCTTGGATTTCGATAATCGAGAGTATATGGCTAAACGTGTTAATGTGGTGGCCCATCCCACACAACTCAAACTGCCGGCAGTTAATATGAATGTGTTTTTGGATCTATTTCCCTTTACTTTGGTTTTAGATCGTGACATGTGTATAACACATGCGGGTGAAAAGATCTTTGAAACTTGGATTCTACACAATCCGGGTAAAAATCCCAAAGACTTTATTGGCTCCCATATTATAGATCAATTCGTATGCCGAAGACCCAAAGATATTAAAATCGAATGGGATACAATTATACAAATGCGCACGGTGCTCTTTGAATTCGAATTATTACGTACGGGTCGTAATAAAGCCGCATATACGGCAGCCATGAATATGGACTTTGAAAATCAAGATGAAATGTCCTATTCCGAGGCCCAGAATATAGTGGAAAGTAGTTTTTTTAAAAGTAAAGAAGAAGACGCAGATGATGACAATGGCATAGATCCAGCCACAGGTCTGAGAAAAATATCCCAAGGCAATAAATCTATTTTACTGAAAGGACAAATGTTTTATTTAAAGGATTTGGATTCTTTGATCTTTCTATGTAGTCCCTTAATAGAAAATCTGGATGAATTGCATGGCATAGGTTTATATTTGAATGATTTAAATCCGCATGGTCTAAGTCGCGAATTGGTAATGGCCGGCTGGCAGCACTGTTCCAAATTGGAGATAATGTTCGAAAAGGAAGAACAAAGATCTGATGAATTGGAAAAATCTTTAGATTTAGCAGATTCATGGAAGAAACAAGGTGATGAGCTACTCTACTCCATGATACCCAGACCCATAGCCGAACGTATGCGCAATGGTGAGGAGGCGCATTGTCAAACATTTGAAGAAGTTTCGGTAATATTCGTAGAAGTTATGAATATTTACGATGGCGATGCCACTAACATACAAAATGCCATGGAGGCGGTAACTACTTTGAATAAAGTATTCTCGGCATTCGATGAAGAAATCATATCACCATTTGTCTATAAAGTGGAAACGGTGGGTATGGTTTATATGGCAGTATCGGGAGCCCCCGATGTTAATCCTTTACATGCCGAACACGCCTGTGACTTAGCTTTGCGTTTAATAACGAAGGTTAAAGCTTTACAAATACCGGGACTATCTATACGTATAGGCATAAATTCCGGACCCGTTGTGGCAGGTGTAGTGGGCTTAAAAGTTCCACGTTATTGCCTCTTTGGTGATACGGTAAATACCGCTTCACGTATGGAAAGTACTAGCGATCCGTATAAAATACAATTGTCCAATTATACGGCGAAAAAAGTACGAGAACTTGGTTACAAAGTTGAATCACGCGGTTTTGTAAAGGTCAAAGGTAAAGGTGAAATGGAAACATATTGGCTGCTAGCGGGACCAAAGGAATAATCATTCATACCCATACATAATAATGATGGATGTGTTCTCTACATACTCATATGCATAGATTTAATTTATGATTTAACATTAAGGGTTGATTTTTTTGTTCATAAAAATGCAAAAGAAATATTTAAGCAATTTCCTAGATAAAATATGTATGTATTAAAGGAAAAAATGATGAAATGAAATTTTATTGATAACAATAAATGAAGTATAAATATAAAAATATTTACGACACTTTATTAGATGTGGTTTGGCTTTTATTTGTTAAATAACATAAAGAATGGATGTTAAAAAGTGAGTGGGTATAAATATTATTGCCAAGTAAAATCAGAAAATGTAACACATAACGTAAATGATAGATGTCAAGTACATTGTAAGTATTTTTTAGTCTTTAAAAGTAATTTGAGACTTTAAAGAATAAGATTTCTTCTTTTCATCTCAATGGAAAATTCAAAAACCTAAGTCTTTTTAAGGTAAATAATAAAATTAATTAATGCTAAGAAATCTACACCATTTTTAATCTTCTATAAAAGTGTGTTAGTAATAAAATTAATGAGTTTTTATTATACAACAACAGAAGATGATTTAAACATAATTTTATTTATATATTTAAGGGTTGTTAAGAATTTAAAGATTACAAATTTTTAATTTTTCTTAGCAACATCCTTAGAAGGATTTATGCAAATCTATAAAATTAATTTGCTGATAGACAAGTGTGGAAATGAAATTTATGCTTACGGTATTTAAAAGAAATTGTACTACTAATCCTATCATATTCAGTTTTATCGCTGAATTAATGCGGACTTAATTTTCATCTACATACATATCTACAAATTTTAGGTAACAGGGCGTATGATTAATATTAATTATGAATACAAAATATTGAATGACTTTCCTTCACAACCGATTCAGGCGGAAATCAATACTGATCAATTCTTCAAACTCATTCCTTAAGCTTTAATATCTATAATTAGTTCTTATAAATTTTGTTTCCTGAATAGAAAATTAATCTCTTGGAAATTTATTAATTTAGAGTAGATCGAATTAAAGATGAGCAATCCAGTGATTTCTAAAGAATGTCGTTCTAAGTGAACGTGATTTGTAAATCACTGTTCTTTAAAACAGTGACTGTGATCACGGTTTGCTCTTATAAAGCAAAACAATATTAATATTTTTTCGATTATTTTGCTTAAAACCAACGTATTTTATTGAATCTTATGTTAAGTATATACATAAATATTACTGATCAAAATAAAATTGGTAACATCAGAGTGAGAGAAGTTTACTATATGAAAAAATTTCGAATTGTATACATACTATGTTGTAATACGTATTTGCTTTAATGAATTTTAGAAGGTAAAAATTCAAAAGATCGATATTGCAAGTAACTGTTATTTGATAATTTCAGTCACAGTAGCTACCAGTGAATTTTCAATAACAGTGATTAAATCACAGTCGTGAAAATATCGCTCATCTCTAGAACGAATACATAATTCTTTTAATTTCAAAACTATTACTTTTGAGCTCATACCAAGAGAGTGATTTTATACCGATTAAAAAATGTAACTGAATTCTTAGCTATTTAATGCTCTCTATACGAGATTAATTAGGGGTCCTAGCCGGGATTGCACCAGTAGTTCTCACGGAGGTAGACTTTTGGAGTTTCTTTGGAGATCTGGATATCTCCTCTTTGTCGTGGCACTATCTATCTATCTATCTATCTATCTATCTATCTATCTATCTATCTATCTATCTATCTATCTATCTATCTATATATCTATCTATCTATCTATCTATCTATCTATCTATCTATCTATCTATCTATCTATCTATCTATCTATCTATCTATCTATCTATCTATCTATCTATCTATCTATCTATCTATCTATCTATCTATCTATCTACCTATCTACTACCTACCTACCTACCTACCTATCTATCTATCTATCTATCTATCTATCTATCTATCTATCTATCTATCTATCTATCTATCTATCTATCTATCTATCTATCTATCTATCTATCTATCTATCTATCTATCTATCTATCTATCTATCTATCTATCTATCTATCTATCAATCTATCTATCTATCTATCTATATATCTATCTATCTATCTATCTATCTATCTATCTATCTATCTATCTATCTATCTATCTATCTATCTATCTATCTATCTATCTATCTATCTATCTATCTATCTACCCTACCTACCTATCTATCTATCTATCTATCTATCTATCTATCTATCTATCTATCTATCTATCTATCTATCTATCTATCTATCTATCTATCTATATCTATATATCTATCTATCTATCTATCTATCTATCTATCTATCTATCTATCTATCTATCTATCCTATCTTCTATCTATCTATCTATCTATATATCTATCTATCTATCTATCTATCTATCTATCTATCTTCTATCTATCTATCTATCTATCTATCTATCTATCTATCTATCTACTATCTATCTATCTATCTATCTATCTATCTATCTATCTATCTATCTATCTATCTATCTATCTATCTATCTATCTATCTATCTATCTATCTATCTATCTATCTATCTATCTATCTATCTATCTATCTATCGATCTATCTATCTATCTATCTATCTATCTATCTATCTATCTATCTATCTATCTATCTATCTATCTATCTATCTATCTATCTATCTATCTATCTATTTAATGTCTTACAAATTCGAGGTGCTCGCATCTGGTACGGTCGTGATATAAAATGTCTTCATTTTTATCCTAGACAAGCAAGTGTTGTCCTAAATAACACTTTTTGTTAACACATGACTCCTTCGGGAGTACATATAAATATATTCATATCCAAAAAATTTTCTTTCTGGACACTGTTTAATATTTGCATATGACGCAAGCAAGTGTTATCCTAAACAATAGTTTTGTTAAATAAAGTATTCACAACCTCAAAATAACACATCTCTGAAAAGACTGAAATTAGTTTTAATTAAGTAGATATAATAGCATTTCAAACAATGTCCATGACTTTGTGGCCAGAGACCATATTTTAGTTTTTAAAACATTTCATTGAGATGAGTTTTTTCTTTAACAATAAGAAAAAAAGTATTTTTAAAATTTATTGCCAAATTATGATACTTACAGCAGTTTTTTTATATTAAAACAAGAAAACTTTTAGAAAACTTAACTATATAAATGCAGAACTAAACTTTTCCGACAGCAATACACTATTATTTATTTTAAAATAGACAATTATTTTTAACAGAAAACAAAACTTCTTAAATATCACCACACCACCAAAATAATAAGTAAAGAAGACAAACTAAAACAATAATACAACAAACTTTTAAAGCACTCACCTAGAAATGACCACACAAGTAAATGACAAATTAAACAAATAAAAAATATTTCACCGAACATTAAAATGGCAAAATTTGCATAAAAAATTGTTAAATACATCACTGATGTAACCTTATGACATTAATCTCGTTTAAGATATTAAATAAATTTATATCTTATCAACTATCAAGTAAGTGAACCATCCTATTGGAAACAACAATTATAATTTGGCAGCACTTTTTTGCGCGCATTTTTTTATGAACGTTTGTTTATAAAAACTCATAAATTTTGATCAAAACAAAGAGATAAGAAAAGTAAAAGGTGACTGAAGATTTTTACAAAATTTCCAGTTTAATGCATTAAAATCAGCCAGTCAGACGTGTAAAGGAAAAGTTCTTGAAAAATGTTAAAATTCAGTTTGATAGTGGCGGTATGTGAAAACTTGGGTATTGGCATAAATGGTAACCTGCCTTGGAGATTAAAGTATGTAACTAGAATTGTAGAAACATTTGTTTTGATCTTTTGCTAACAATACTTTCTACAGATCAGAGCTGAAATATTTTGGTGACACTACAAAACGTGTTAAGGATGCCAGTAAACGTAATGTGGCCATAATGGGACGTAAAACCTATTTCGGCATACCCGAGTCTAAACGGCCCTTGCCCCAACGCTTAAATATAGTTTTAAGCACAACTTTAAAACCCACAGATCTTCCACCAGATGTACTGTTATATCCAAATTTAGAATCGGCCATGAAAATGCTGGAGGAAGATGAAAAACTAAAACAAGAAATTGAAACCGTTTGGATTGTAGGCGGCAGTGGTGTTTATGCTGAAGCTATGGCTTCACCACGTTGTCATCGTTTGTATTTGACAAAAGTTTATGCAGAATTTGAATGTGATACGTTTTTCCCTAAAATTCCCGAAGACTTCAAAGAAGTTGAATTGGATGCAGAGACACCGCGAGGCGTACAAGAAGAAAACAATATTAAATATGAATATAAAATATTAGAAAAACAGTCGGCTTAAAGCAATTAATAAACAATGCATTTTTTATAAATATAACAGAATTTATTTGTTTTTTACATCATCGGCCGTTATAATATCACCTTCGATGCCCTTAGCGGCCAACATTAGCTCATAAAGCTGCACTACTTGATCATCCTTTAACATTTCTACCGTTTGGGGATCTAATTCATCACCTAAAGTCCCTTTAGGTTTGCCTCTTAAACCTAATTGTTGACTTATTGTTACAGCGTATTTCTAGAAAAACAGAATAATAAATAAATTAAGAGAAAAAGTATGTTTAAATGTTTCTGTTAGCACCTACCGCCCATTCTGTCATAAATAGTTGTGCCTCCATAGGTGTACATTTTAAATGACGCCGGAACTCATCTTTCACATATCTATCGCCCAGTTCACGCAATTCATCTGGTAAACCTTAAAAAAATTTCAAATTCAAGTATTATGTTTTGTGAAAGTGCTTTGTATATATAAACCTACCTCTATGTAGTCTCAATACTGTTTTATATAGTATACGTACTTTTTGTGGATGTGACAATTGATTAACAACTATTTTAGACATAATTTTAATAGTTTTATTTAAAATTAACTATATTTTACACTAAATTCACGTAATTTTATTTTAATTGTTTTTCTGGTATAAAAAAATTAAGGTTAGAAAAAATCATAACAAAAAACAGCTGTTTTACGGTGATGGAAAGTGATTTAAAATTACAAATATAGCAGGGATGCCTAAGAGAGGAGGGTTGTCCACTAAAAAACATGTTTTAGTATGAAAAATATTTTAAGGAACATTTTATTAGAAAAATTGTTATGCCGAACATTTTGTATAAAAAACTGTTATAAGATAAATTCTATAGGTAAAACTGTTATACGGAGTATTAATTTTTATTTTATTCAGTTATATAGACAATTTTAATACAAAAATGTTATACAATTTCTACACAAAAAGCTGTTATATGATAAATTTGTTAAGGAAATAACTTATATACAGACAATTTTTTGTGAGAAAACTTTCGTACAATGAGAAATTTAGATTTAAAACTATCATAAATTATTTCTATAGAAAATTCTGTAATAAATGCTGTTGTACAAAAAAAAAAAAAAAAAAAACTATTATATATAACTTTTCCTTGAGAAAAATCTGAAATATGAACATTTTGACGAGAAATTCTATTACACACAATATTTCTATAAAAAGAACTGTACATATTATGTAATAATAAAAAGTTCTATATATAGTTTATATATATATATATATATATATATATATATATATATATATATATATATATATATATATATATATATATATTATAAATACAATTTCTAAAAACTGTTATACAAGAAATTTTTCTTGAGAATGAAAATTTCGATAGAAATTTCTATTATATAGAATATTTCTATAGAAAAACACAATACAATTTTCTTAAAAAAATTCTTATAAACAAAATTTTCTATAGACAAAAATTTAATACAGAAATTGTTATACTTTTCCTTAGAAAAATTATTTAAACTTTTTAAAATTAAAGCTCTATTGAATTATTGTAAATGTTATAAGTCCTTTTTTTAAATTGATTTTTTTTCTCAGTTTCAATGAAAAGTCTTAAAAATTCGATTTTTGATTTTCAAAATTCGAATTAAAAATCAAAAATTGTATTTGATGAATTAAAATTTTTGAATTTGAATTGAATCACTCTGCATTTAAAATGAAAATTCTTATTTCATAAATTATCAAAGTCAGATTTAGAGATTTATCGTAATGGCTGACGTTTTTTAGTGTAAAAATTATCTATTAACAATTTTAGCTCTAAATTTGACATTTTCCATAAAACATACTAAATTTTATACATACATAATATCATATTTTATCGGAAATTAAATGGATTCATATTTAAAATGTATTCAGATTATTTGAATTGACCTCTGACCCCTACAGCACTATAAGGACAAACTTCTAAAACATTTGAGAACATTTTGAACGAAAATGTATTTTAAATCTAATTTTTTCTTATAGTCCATACAAAATTAAAAGATTTGCTATAGAAATTTAAAATTATGTTATTATGAAGTTATTTTTATTTATATTATTTATACAATACTAATTTACTTTCTGTAATCTGTGTAAAAAATCGCTTTCAAATTCTAACGCTTTTCCAGCAGTTTATTAAACTACTACTAATGGCATGAAACTGTGAAAACAAGAACATGCTAGAATATATTTTTTTTACAGCAGTTGCCTTTTTTTACAAGCGTGCGCGCCATCTTTGTTGTTTATAAAAGCAAGTTTTGAACGCAACGCCGCCATTCCTTAAAAAAGTGTGTATTTGACCGAACGTGTGATTGCCGCACGTAAATTTATAACACACGAGTAGAATCAATAAAGTGCAACCAAAAAAGTAAAATTTTTTGGAAATAAGGTGTACAACATTTTTACGATTAATTATATTAAAAAACAACAAATAAAATAAACAAGGTAAGTGTTAAAAACAAATAGAATAATTTAACTATTTATGGTAGAGAAAAAAAAACTTGACATTGGAAAAAAATAGTGGAAAAAATTTTGCAATAATTTTTGTAATATAGAAAGAAAAGAAAAACACGTGGGGTGGAAGGAAAGTAAATTTATTGATTTTTGTTTTTTCAAAGAAATTTTTATTAATAAAGTGTTAAGATGATGAAATATTAAGAATATAGTTTTTCTTGTGGTATGTTGTAGAAATCGTGAAAAAACATGCGTCATTACGAAGTATCTGGAAAAAGTAGAAGTTTTTTGTTCGTTTATTGAAACATGACTCATGGTTTTAATGAATTTAATAGTTTTATAAAATTATGGCTTTCTTAACAAAGAGTAGAATTTTTTTTATTTAATAATGACTTGTTCATTTTTTCATCTTAATTATTAAACCTCATGTTTTTATATTGTATTTAATTTTTATAGAATTTTTCTTTGTATGACAAAATCTAACCTCCCTTTTTTTCATTTGCTGCAATGTGTTGGTGTGTGTTTGTTTTAATACTTATACATTTTCATGTGTATTTTTTCTAATATTTCCATTTAATGCAGTTTATTTTTTTCTTCCCCTTACTACCCTTTGTTTATTTTATAGAATTTCATTTGTTTTTTTTTTAGGGCCTTGGCAACAGAATTTTTCTCGTACTTAAAATTTACTACGTTTTTTATATTTCTACTACTATTAACCCCTAAATGACCCATTGCTTTTTTGCACTTCCGTTATTATGGATAGTTTTTCTATCTGTGTAGCGGAAATTGTCACGTTATGCAGCAGCTGTCATTGATTTTTCTTCTATTATTTGTTGACAAATAAACAAGGTGACAGATGTTGCATTATTTTTTGGATGAGGTTTTCTTTAATATTTAATAATTCTTTTTATTTTAATAATAATTAGTAAATAAAAGTAGATGAATTTGAGTAAAAAGTGGTTTGTTTATTTAAGCTCTATAACTTTTACTTTTTACCCCCGAAAGGTGGTTTATAATGGTGCTGTTCTAGTATTGCTATGTCGGGGGTTAATTAATCGATTTTCTTGGAATAGAACTATTTTTGTTTGGATTTTAAGTCGTTATAATGGAAAACATTAATTTAAATTACGATTTTTCTGAATTCAAAATAAAACAACTATTTAATACCTTATTTACAAAATTACCAGCGACTTAATAAACTTATACATCCCTTACTTTCCAAAGTACAGTACGTCGATAAAACATTTCATTTTGCACTTTGTAACGCTATTAATTATGAAAGATAAGCTTTAAAAATGTTACCAAGAGAAACTACATCTGCATAGTTTGCAAAACTTTTTTCAAAATGGAAACAAAAAGAAGCAATGAAATCACATGACCTTTAAACCAAAGTCTAGTAAAAGCCGAAATTTTTGTTTAAATTAAATACTTTTACTAATAATAATGAAATAAATTTCGTTTAAATCATTTCTAAAAAATTTCCATAAATACATTAGAAAAAAAAAAAACCTACCAATACATTGCGATACCACAGCTGCTATATTATGGTGGTGGTGGAGGTATGAAATCATACACAATCGTAAAATGTTAATAAACTTAATTAGTCATTCACCCTAAAAGTGTGGTTGTTAAACACAAACAGGTTTAATCAATTCTACAAAAAGATAAGCACAACAAATAAAACAATACAAAATGGTGATTTTGATAAACAAAAAAGAAAGAACCAAAAAGTTTGATCAAACTAAAACCACTAAAAACTAATTAGGTATTAAAACCATTAAGAGTTAAAAAAAATATACAATTAAACTACATTTTATAAAAAGAAACTTTTTTTAACACCCTTCTCCATCCTCTTTTCACTTTCAGATGTCTAAAGCTCCTGCTATTGGTATTGATTTGGGTACAACCTACTCTTGCGTAGGTGTATTCCAACACGGTAAAGTTGAAATTATTGCCAACGATCAGGGTAATCGTACCACACCATCATATGTTGCCTTCACCGACACTGAACGTCTTATTGGAGATGCAGCCAAAAATCAAGTCGCTATGAATCCCACAAACACCATCTTCGATGCTAAGCGTTTGATTGGTCGCAAATTCGATGATGCCACCGTTCAAGCTGATATGAAACATTGGCCCTTCGATGTTGTCAGCGCTGACGGTAAACCAAAGATCCAAGTCTGCTATAAGGATGAGAAGAAAACTTTCTTCCCCGAAGAAATCTCCTCAATGGTTTTGTCTAAAATGAAGGAAACCGCCGAAGCTTACTTGGGCAAACCAGTAACAAATGCTGTCATCACTGTGCCAGCTTATTTCAATGACTCTCAGCGTCAAGCCACTAAGGATGCTGGTACCATTGCTGGTTTGAATGTTTTGCGTATCATCAATGAACCTACCGCTGCTGCCATCGCTTACGGTCTCGACAAAAAGGCCGCTGGTGAACGTAATGTTCTCATTTTCGATTTGGGCGGTGGTACTTTTGATGTATCCATCCTCTCCATTGACGACGGCATCTTCGAGGTCAAGTCCACTGCTGGTGACACCCATTTGGGTGGTGAAGATTTTGATAACCGCCTAGTCACCCACTTTGTCCAGGAATTCAAGCGTAAGCACAAGAAGGACCTTACCACCAACAAGCGTGCTTTGCGTCGTCTTCGTACCGCTTGCGAACGTGCAAAGCGTACCTTGTCCTCCTCCACCCAGGCCAGTATTGAAATCGACTCCTTGTTCGAAGGTACCGATTTCTATACCTCCATCACTCGTGCCCGTTTTGAGGAGTTGAACGCTGATTTGTTCCGCAGCACCATGGACCCCGTCGAGAAGGCTTTGCGCGATGCTAAGCTCGACAAGGCTCAAATCCACGACATTGTCTTGGTCGGTGGTTCCACTCGTATCCCCAAGGTACAAAAGTTGTTGCAAGATTTCTTCAACGGCAAGGAATTGAACAAGTCCATCAACCCCGATGAGGCCGTCGCCTACGGTGCTGCTGTACAAGCCGCCATCTTGCACGGTGACAAGTCCCAAGAAGTCCAAGACTTGTTGTTGCTCGATGTTACTCCCTTGTCTTTGGGTATCGAAACCGCTGGCGGTGTCATGAGCGTTCTCATCAAGCGCAACACCACCATCCCCACCAAGCAAACCCAGACCTTCACCACTTACTCCGACAACCAACCCGGTGTATTGAT